TTTCTTCACTGCTTAGAATCATGATATTACAACCTGGAGAAAACAACATTTAAACTTTATATGGGCATAAAACAATTCCATGCATATATTCTAAGCACATCTTAGCACAGCCCACCTCACTGGCAGCATGTGTCCATAAACTGGACTCTAACATAAACTCTGGAAGCTTTCAGATTAATCAACAAATCAAACACACAGAAAGTTCTTCAGCCCACAGTTACACATGTGAACAACGTCCTCATGATAGTTTCATTTTATTTGTGCTTTTAGACTGTAGTTGAGGAATGCCTTGAGGAATCACAGTTGTTGCTACAGAGAAGCAACGGGCTCAAGAGGAATCTTGGGATGAGCAAAATCAGGCTAGAAAACACAAAACCAGAAGGATGGCTATTTTGAAAGGAAATAGCATGTGACTTCTACCACAATCAGAAGGGCTACCAGAAGTATTTTCTGACTATCTTCCTAAACTAATTTCTCTGTATTTGTGACTTCTACCTCTTGTCTTGCAAAGAGGGACTATCCCTGTGTCAGAATTAGGTGAAGAAGAGAGGCATGCAGAGAAGCACCGACCTACAGGATCATCTCATGGCTTTAAGCTTCAGAATAGCAAGCTCAGACTATTCACAGGGACACTGAGGTTGGTATTCAGCAGCCACCAGCCTATTTACACAGGAGAAGCTGACACCTGAGACAGTCAACAGGTCTTGTTTTTGATGTCTGCTCATCCCTAGGGACACGGGTTCTTCTCAGAGCAGCAGTACCATGACTTTGCTTAAGTGATCATCTGACCCACGGGAAAAGCTTTTTAAACAACTCTGTGATACTGAAGAAGCCCAAAAGGAATTGCTTTCTTGCCCTTTTACCTACTAGTATTGAGGGTTAGTACATCTGTGACAGCAATGTACTAATCCTAACAGGAGAATCGATGCTTAACACCCAGTCATTTTTCTCTCTTTGATCACAGAAAACAGATTAAAACTTCCTGTCCTGGACCAAAACCTCAGCCTACAAAAGAAGGATGTGCAGCATAAGGGCACCTTGAAAGAATGTTTCTTTGTGGCATATGGAGCATGTTTAAACAGTCCAATTGCCTGTGCCAGTTAAATCACTGCCAACCAAACATCTAACCCAACTTCAACAGAGCATTCTTCCAAGTAAGAATGTTGCAGAATACTAGAGGCTTCCTTTTTACTTTTCGACACATTTGAAATTCTGCATTTTCATTCAACTCACAAAATCTAGAGGATAAGCTAAGAAAACAAGTCGTGATAGAGACTGCAGACTTTACCTATCATTTGATGGGAAAGACATTGTTATTTGTTTGATTAAACAGTGCATAATTAAAAGTCAATATGCAAGAATGTTATAGAATCTGTGTAACTAGTCAAATTTTTGTCAATGTCTAATTTATAGGAAATCAGTGATAAAATGTTTGTTTTCAACTTCATCTGCAAAATTATTTGTATATTATGAAAGTAAATCCATACAGCTTTGGGTCCACAGATAAACATCCATGGGCAAAGTTCATGGGAAGGTGATCCAGCTTAGGCACTGAACTAAGAAGAGCTACTCAGGGAAGATAAATTATAGTTTACTTCTTCAGGTCTCTAGCACATTGTGCAGAAATGAGTTTAGTTCCTTTGAGAATATCTGTCATATCCAAGCAGGGAAAAATACCTTAATAGGCTGTGCCCATTTCATAATGCACACAAGACAGGCGTCTCCAGAGGAAGGAGAGGAGTCGTCTTACGTTTAAAAGTTTCTGAGCACAAGCCTGTTAAGAAAGTTGGCAATCAATTACAGAAACTAATCCAATCAATTAATTACTACTTTGTTAGTAAAGCATCACCAGTGTGAAATAATTTCATTAACTATAACAATACACATGCTATACCGTGCCCTAGTCCAGCCAGTACAGCAGCCAGATTTCTAAAGTCTGATGAGTGGCAACTACCCAAATCAAAGGAAACAAAACCAGTAATCCTAAAGATTTTACTTCCAAAAGAATTTAAAAGGAAATAGTATCTATTAGTACTTGACAGGGGCATGTAGAAGAATAACAAAGGGAATCTACAGATTGAAATGGGATACTTCCAGAAAGTTCTTCCAAATGCCTGAAAACATTTCCAAAAGGATTTGTTTATGCCAAGAAAAGCAGTCTCTTTTCCATTGTTGCTCAAGGTGCCAGGCATGGTAGGAACTCACAGAGACAGGGAAAGGAGCCAGACCCAGCCAGCTCCTGTTGAGGATTGGAAACAAGTCAAAGAGCCAAGCCTGATTTGCAGAGCCCAGACTGAGATCCTGATCTCAGCCTTCAAACTGCTTGGGTCAACCTGAAATCAGATTCCTTGCTCTGGACCTCTCCTGAGCTTGGCTTGGCTGAATGAGTTATATCTTTTTTGTTCTGAGCAGAAATGAGGGGGTGATTTGACATGCAAACAGCACAGCTCTGCAGCAACAAGCACATGAAAGGTAAGAGATGCTCTGATTGCATTTTGTGCACAGACACAGCCATTGAGTGTACAGTGTCACAGCACCAGACCAGACCTCCATGGAGGGAGAGACCATAGGGACTGAGTAGGCAGATGAGTCCCTTTGATTCCATGATTCCTTCCACATTCCCGTTTACTAGGCAGCAGGGCTGATGTGCTGATATTACAGCAGTTTTAACCTGCATAACAACACTTTGAGCCTGAAGCACTTTGCAGTCCTGTCCCTGTTCTCCCCAGGTGACAAAATGACCTGCACGTGTGCCAGTGCAATCAGGACAGGCACTGCTTAAATTCTATGACACAAACATCCTAAACCTACTCCAAAAAGTTTCCCTCTGACCATAGGTGGGCAGAATACATTTTGGAGACAGGTTGAATCCACACTTGCGCTTTGAAAACTTGTTGCCTGGGCTTGAGGCTTAAGGGGGGACAGGGGTAGAGAGAGTCTACACTGTCTAGTGTAGAGCAGTGGCAAAGCATCAGCTCCAACATCCCTCCTCCCTCCTCCTACAAACCCTACAGAAGTTTACACTGAGTTGTAGTAAATTGCTCAGAATCCACCCCCTTCCCAGCTACCCCCTCCTCCTGCACTAGCTGCAGTTACACCACCTCTTGCAAAGACTTTGAAAATCTTCCAGTCATAATAAGAGAGGAAGCAAATTATTACTTCCCCAGTAGCAAATTATTACTTCCCACAAAAGCAGAGGAAGCACCCTGCTTTGCTCTGTGGGTCATGCATGGCTGGGCTCTCATTAGGGTTACAGTAGAAATTCCACCCTGCTGAAGTCATCAGGACTTTGGCACTGGATTTCATCCTTGGTAAACGTCTATGCTATACCCTTTGAAAGCACTGGCTGATATCTCAGCATCTCCAAACTAGAAGAACCAGGAATTTCTATTTTGGAGATGATTATCTCACAGATGGAGTAAGAGGTTTGAGTAAAATCCCTGTTACTTCAGCTGGAAAAGCTTAGCAAAATGTGGTCCACATTATTGCCTCACAGTGACCACTCATAGCCTGTTGACCACCAAGTGTCCTCACAGGACTTGCAGAAGCTCAGAGACACCGGACATTTTAAAACACTGGGAAACATGGTGAATTTTTATGGAACAGTTTTCCTATCTGGAAGCGCTCAACTACTTAAAAGAAAATGTATTTTTCAAATGTGTGCAGCAGTGATTTGGCATCTTTATGTTAAAATTAACTAATTTTATGGTGTTACCTTCTGGCTGCTTCTCATGACAATATAGAGTTTGCAGTTATAGCCCATTATAAAAGGGAAGGGCTGCAAGAGGGTGTTAACAGCCTATTTAGGATATAAAGCATTGTGCAGCACACAGATTTAAATTCAGGTGCAGTATAAGGTCAGCCTTGAATTGTATGTATAATATGTTTGTCAGGCACCCCATGTGTAAAACTGACAGCTCTAACCTAGTTGCCACAGGCTGTTCTATACAGTTGGGAATATTATGTCTCTCTGACTTCAGTGATGTACACTTGAAAAGAAAATTGTTTCATTTTGAGGAAACTTGGAAAGTCAGAGCCTATTGCATTAATGAAATACAACCTAAACTTTCTAGTTAAAAAGGCTATCTGGAATTAATTAAAATTAGCTCATGCCACAATTACATGCAATACACACACATTAATAATAACAATAATAGTAATAGTAATAAAGGAATAATGAAGCTCACATAGTCTGGTTTTATTCTTTTATAAATTTGACACGTGCAAAGTCTGGCTTTGCTCTCCTGTGTTGGGAATGTGAGCGGAATGCTGGGAGCAGTCTGGATTCCAGGGAGTGTTTGGTGTGTGCTCTGAGAGGAGTGCACAGAGCCAGCAGCACTCACAGCTCTCTGCCTCCTGCAGTACTTGAACCTCATGTTCCCTGCATGATCCTGGAATTCCTGCTCCACCAGGATCATGGTTCTCACTGTTAACTTTAAGACACAAGCTGTTTGCCACCACCACCTCCATATTGTGGAGCTGCAAAGCTGTGGCCCTGACTCTTCCCAGATGATTTGGTAATAACTAAGTTTTGTTGTCCCTGTTTTACATTTAGTCTGCTCTAACCTGGACAGAATAACCCTGTCATGCAGTGAAACATGAGCAGTCCACGGCAGAGGCAATGCTCTAGCGCAAATAAATTGAATTTAAACACCAGACCACTTCTCACCTAGAGCAATCCTGCCTTTCACAAAGGAAAGGGTAGTGGAATGAGAAAGGCAAGCTTAGAAGGAGTGTGTTGATGAAGGAATTGAGGCACATTGTAGCACTGCAGCTTGCCAAAGTAATATAATGGATCTGAAATAGAACTGTTCCTCAATCTACGCCCCAGCAGAAAGCCCTCTTGCTTACACCACCACCAGATTGAAGCAGAGGAGGGAACATTGTACAGCAACTGCAGAAGTGACAAAGGTAGAGGCTCTGACAGGACAAGGATTAGGATACCATCTCTTTGTTATGTCACAGCTTTTTCCAGAGAACAACAGCACTGCTTCCAGTCACTTCTCCCTCACTTTCTCGGAAGAAATGGATGACAATTTATCAGGCCATTGCACATTGATCTAAAAAGTCCAGCTCTTCGTAGAAAGGTTTGAAGATACAAAAGTTTTTATGAGCTCTCTTGGGAGTTAGCTTCTCAACTGGTATAAAACAACACTCATTAATCAAAATATGCCAATTTATGTTGCCCAAGGATTTTGTAGCTTTATTTCTTATATAAGTGCTCTCAATGTCTTTCAGTCACCTCCCTAAAAGGTACAATTCAGATCAAATATTTATCATCCTTCTATATTTCTTATCTTCACTTTAAATTGGAAAGAAAAATAACAAGCTGTCTGCAGAGTAATCAGTTGCTATAGTAAACACTACTTTAGCATACAATGCAGTACTTATCTCTGTTCTCTTTAATTAAATCTGTGGTATACACTGTCATTTGTCTATGCAGAGAAAGTGTTCTTCTCACCAACCAGAAACTTAACTGCACTAATTAACTCTTTGGCTTTAGAACAAATTAGGAAAGAGGTTAAATTAGCCTGATTTTCCTCAGACAGTTTTCTCATTTCCCATGTCACTGCAGACGAGTCCCTTTTGTGTCTCAGCACCTCTGATGAGCAGAAACTGCTGTGAACCAGCAAACTTCAGCATCCAATTGTAATGAGGGAAAAATACTTACACTGTGTAAGAAAAGCCATTTTTACAGACCTTATTTATCTTCTAATGATAATGGATGTTCCAAGCCTATTGTTTAACTGACTATATGAATTTTTAAGTTGGGAGGATCATATGCAGGCACTAGCACTACTGAAGGACAACAGTATGAAGAAGATACAAAATAAATGTGAGACTGATGATTTCAAGCATTTTAAGTGAGTGAATATTTGGATCTGAATTGCTAATATGTGCATATATATAAACCAAACATTGATGTTTAAGTTATACATCATTTGTTAGGCTGGTCCAAATCACTGAAAGGTCCTTCTGTATCAGAGAAAATGGTCAGGCTTATGCCAGCAAAGTGTCTTGCCCTTCAGTCTGAAGAGAAGGGCAGTATGCTGTCTGGGGAAAGTCTCCAGGAAAAACATAACCAAAGGCATGTTTTCCTACCACTGACAAAGCACATTTTAACTGAAGGCTCCAGCTATTAAACCCAGGCATCACTTAGAAGCAAGATGCCCAGGCAGCAGCACCTAAGAACTCTCTTCAGTGAAGTCTTTGTGCTCCAGTTCAGAGGAGCAGCCCCAGCAGTGCAGCGCTGTGCTCACTGCACAGCCCAGCAACTGCACTGAAACCCCTGTAAAGGACTGGGGTCTCTGCCTGTCATTCACACAGGTTGAGGACCCCACTCTGCACCCAGGTATGTGCAGATCTTGGCTCTGTGTCACAG